TCAGCAGGATGGTGTTTTTTTATATAATTTTATCTCTGTTAGTGATCAATTTTACATTATTATTTCATGTTGCTTTTTTGACATCATCATAATTTCTAAGGTAAGTAATCATATAGTCATGAAAACGAGACTGAAACGTCTTTTTTTTTTGGCAGGGAAGGAGATGGAATTTAAGTGAACAAGCTGAGTTTTTAAACTGAGTTAAAAAAAAAACAAAAAACAAAACAAAGCAACCCTGATATAAAACCAAAAGAATATTCAAAACAGCAAGGAAAAAAAAACCAAACCAAAACAAACCAGAAAAAAATATTTAGACAAATTTCATTCCAATTAGCTTGTAGATGAAAGTTTCTTTTTAAAATGCTATAATCCATAAAAGAAAAAATATCTCCTAGTTCAAATGCTAAGGTCTGTGTAGCATACTACCAAGTTTCAGAGGAAAGTGTTTTCAAGGTCTTTTCATGAATGGTCTGTTATGGAATGGGGTCACTCGAAAAGGAATAATTACAGAGTGATCAGAAGATTTCTTTGAAAAGATTGTGCTAGACCTTCTGTGTGGTTTGTGGAAGAACAGAAATCAGTTTTGCTCCTAGGGTGGGCTAACAAAATGTATTGTGTTTTTGCAGCTACTTCTATCTTTGCCCCAAAAGATGCATGCATCACCTCACGGTGCACTCAGCCTCTGTAAGGTCATTGCCTAGAAACCAGATCTCGGAGTTGTTAGAAGTACAACATGCTGCCGCACCGTTTGACCGATTGCAAAAGTTTAGTTTTGAACTCTAATGAGTCTTTGCTCATCTCCTGTCTTAGCACTGCCAGTTGTTAAATTATTAATTTCTCTTTGATAGTACCCCTTTATGTGCTTTTATAAACTTATTTGTATTATTTTGGGTTGTATTTCATTTGCACTGAGCCTCTTCGCTTTATTTCAGAGCATGGAGTTACTAGAAAGAAATATTTTGAGGAATACTCTTCACCCTTTGTATTGTGTTCATACTGAAGATCTGTGATCTACAGTAATTCTTATTCATTTGGAATATAGTAATTTTGTTCCTGTCAGCACAAGGGCTGGTTTGTTGTTTTAAATTGCTGACTTTTGTTTTTGTTGGCATGCTCCCCAATACAAATTGAACATCTTACAAAAATTTATTTGTATGACAGTTCAGTCGAGATAGGTGCTCTCTGTTGCCTAACACTACGACTTGGGGTCCCAAGATAAAAGTTGACTGAAAGCCAAGATTTTGGTAGAGCTTGTTTGTGCAGATAACGGAGGTAATCCATATTCCTCAGGTCTGTAAATTGAACAGACAAAGGGGAAATACATATGCACACTATTCTCTTTGAGATAGTGGACCAGTAGTTTCTTCTTAGTAACAATGGGGACTATCTAACCCCTGAGAACAACAGAAAGCTGACACCAGGGATGTTCCTATACAAAATTAGAGCAATTAGAAGAGTCTTAGAATGCTTCTCCACCTTTAGCAGATAGTGCTTAAATAAATTATTCAGTGGTTCTGGTTTGTGGCTCTCTGGCAATTTCTACTCTTACGGGATTTTGTCTCTTTAGAACCTAATTCAGATTATTATAGATCTGAAAGTTGATCAATAATACAATGGAAGAGGAAATCCCACCACTAGGTCTTGACTGTGTTTTCCAGGGTGATACAGACAAACGTATGGAGGCTTAGTGGCCATCTGTGGAAATACTGTTTAGGAAAACACATACTGGCTTCTAATGATTCCTTGCAATGATTCTTCCAGGATAAAATAAAATACCGAAACATCTTCTTTTTGATGAGGTTGTTAGATCAATAATGTGAAACCCGAAATAGGAATCCTAGTGGCCTAACAAACATTTTTTCATAAAATAGTTTTTAAGGTGCAATAATTGCTTTTCATACACAAATAAAAATATTCCCCAAGTCAGCTGGATCCAACTCTGCATCCCATTTTTTGCTGCTTGACCATGGAATCTCTCACATTTTGGAGTAAATGTTCAAGTATCATTCTTCTGGTTTACTACAGGACAAGTTTTTTCCAGGTTGACAGCAATCCAGACCATTAATTTAGTCTTGATGTCTTCTTGCTAGTTAAAATGTGTCATTCCAAGGGCATCTTTATGGACAATATATACATGGATACTTTGAAATTCTCAGGATATCTTTGAGTATGAAATCACCGTTGTTTTATATACACAAATATACTAGTTAATTCCTTATCCATTTACTTATAAGTATCTCCTGAAGACCCAAATTCTTGCTTATTTCTCTCATATCTGTAGATTTACTGATCTGTTAACTCAAATTCTGTGATCATGCATTTTTTATGCTTTGCAAAATCTGGATAACTAAATAAATAAAAGCTTAGATGGTTCATCATTCAGTGCGTTGAGGAACATCTGGGACTATATTTTCGGTTTTTTTTCTTGACCTTTCAGACTGAAAAACATCTTATCTATTGAGTTCTTTCTCACCTTTTATTGAACTTTCTCCATCTCTTTTGCAGAAAGGTTATAACAAAATTCTTCTGATGTGTAAACTGATGTTCAGTAAATTTTTAAAACCAGAGTATACTGATAGATTTTTGTCATCCTGCTGCCAATAAATGTCCATGTATGGTCAGTCAACAGTGCTTCTAATGTTTTAGGTCAGGTATTATCAGGTGTATACATCTTGGTTTAACAGAAAAGAAAGTATAAGCTGTCACCCAACAATTACCTAAACTTTTTCCCTGAGGCCCCTGCTTCAGAAGTCTTTGAAACTGTTGTGATCCTGTTATAATTGCCCTTCTCCTATAGGACCATAAAGCCTCCTGTCGTGACAGTGGACAGTGACAATGGACAAATGCCAGCATGAGCTCTTCAAGATGACTGGTCGTGTTCGTTGTAAGGTGTATGATCCTGTGTGGCACGTGAGAGGGGGGTTAGGAGAGGACTCAAATATCTGAACAGAGGGAGGTAACCAGTAGGGAATGGTAAAATGAGTGGTGGGAAAGGGAACAAAATATGATGTTTCATCACATCTTATGGTAGAAAGAGGTTTAGTGTGGTCACATTGGAGAAAGCATGAGATAGATTGGGGGAAGAAGGTACAAACTGAAAGGTGAAAGGTGAAAGACTGATGAATGATAGGGAAAGGGAAAGAATGGCAGGTGCCTCACTTGAGAGTTTAGTAGATTAGGAATCAAAAATCCAGATGTGTGTTACACCTTTGGATTATTTCTTCCTTACTTTCCTTATATACTCTATGTGTTGATTTTGTATGTTAGGTTTGTGAATTGAAGTTGGAAATATTATGTTTGCCATATGCTATCAAACTTAGGTTTTCTTTGTATCAGATCATCTGTATTTGATGCTAACAGCTTTGTTATATCAGAAGTTTCTAAAACTGTGCCATACAAGAACAGCTGGTGGGGTGGAGGGACAGATGTTTGGTCAAATGATACTGGGCCTTTCTTGCACTTCAAAGGAGCTGAGCAATGGCATAATATGACTACAGAGTATAGTTCTGTTTTTCTAATCTGAGTAATTTAAATATTTGCCATAGTTTATTAAGAGATTGGGAGAGCAAATGACCTGTATGAGCAGAAATTGGAAAGTGATTTGTTAGATAATCTTCCTCTTACTTTGGAGTTTACCTTGTAAAGATTAGAACCTCAGAAATAAATTCATATTGCCAATATATGCCCTATAGAATAAATTTTATATGTTATATCATTCTGTGATATAAATTCATTGCTTTTGATATTTTAATTGTTACCTTCTTTCTTTGGAGCTTCACTTCAGTTTTGTTCAAATGGAAAGTGGGATAACTTTTGAATTTAATGTTTGCCCTAATATTGAGATCCAAACATCGT